GGAAAACTGCTGGTTAATAACAAGGCGAGAAGTCAGGCTGCAATCTACAGAACATCTGGTTTTGAGTAAATAAGACATAAAACAATTGAAGCCAGAGTGAATCACCAGGAAATAGGAGTAAGCAAATTTGAAGCAAGTGTAATACTGGCATCTATAAATATGCAGCACAAAGTAATTATCTCATTCTAACGTGCACTGACTAGACAACATGCTTTGACCTGCTCTGGGTCAGAGACCTAGAAGAGGGCTCCTTGGAACTTCTATCTGTACCCACAATCTAGAAGGATTTGGAGTTCTATAAATATCATGCATAGAAAGTCTTTACAAATCAACTGTAGTAACAGCTAGGATGACACAGCAACATGATTTAATGACTCAGCAGTATCTGAAAAGAAATGGATCATAGGCACTTCAAAGGGCTTGATGCCATTTGTCACGAGGAACAATCTCATCTAAAGGATTTACTAATTCAAAACAGTAGAATTTTTCAGTAGTCACCCTAAGAAAATGTTCAAACATCTAGGGCTAAATGCCACATGGAATTATCTTATCAAACAAGGAAATGCTAGTCCTTTGGTTGGGTGGGATGCTGTAGGTTGTAAGTAGGGAGTTATGTCATCATCCCAGTCATATTCGTAAAGATTTATTGACACCAGAAGCTGATGGCTTGGATCTGAGAGCGGGGACAAGGTAGGGGTAAAGGGGCAAAACTGTCAAAACAATAAAACAAGAGACATCATTCTCAAATGAAATGAATCCATTGCAGGCCTGGTGAAAACTGAGTTGATCATATTCTATCTACTCCATCAAAACTTATGACAGCTTTCAACAAATTAAATTGTATATGGCCTGTATGAAGACTGCTATCATATTCAGTAGACATCCAAAGGTAAAGAGAAACAAGAAAAACATTCTATAGGTAATTCTTGCTAAACTATACAAAAAAATCCTACCATTTTCTGAACTAGACTGATATAAAGATAGTGTTTTAATTTTTGCTTAAGTACTCTGCATATCCAAATTAATTCCCATCTTAGTGGTCTTAGATCATGAGTCAATACAGTGTGTGGCATCTGGAAATTAGTCACAGTGGGGTCTCTGGCTACTATAAAAATCTAACAGGCAAGCTTGACAAGTTGGGGAATAGAAATTATTCTTAAGCAGCAAAATACATGAAAAATAATCTTTTCAGTAATTTTCAAAAAAATCTTACTGTTCCTCTCTTCTCCTCATTTCTAATTCCTCTGAGTGAAAAATTTGGTTCCCTTTCTCTTTTCTTCTTTTTCAAAATCAATGATATCTTGTAGTGGCAAAGAGAAGGGAATTAGAGTAGATACAGGCCATCTAATACAAGAATGTCTCCTGAGCAAGGAATTTCTACACTTCTATAGTTGACACCATTTACAGATGGATTTGAAAATTTGTGAATTATAGTAAGGTAAGAGCCTTTCAAACTTTTCTACAGAAATACAGCCTTGTAATAATGAAGCTATCGTATATGACCAAAATAGGGAAATTCTTATTAATATTCACCAAAACATCTGTTTGTGAGAAGAGCTTATTATTAATTCTTTATATCAACTTCATTCAAAAGATATTTGGATTCCAAAATAAAAATAGTGACTATCACTTGAGATACCCAAGAATTGCATAAGATCAGATATATATGTGTGTATATTTTAGAAAATGTTTTATATGCAGAAAAACATAAATAATAATAAACACCCAATACCCAGAATTGAGATTATCAACATTATTACACTTGCTTCTTCATTTGTTTTGAATAAGATAACACATTGTAAAAAAAAATTAAATCCTTTTTATTTCTAAATTGCCAGTCCACTAGAACCACGCTCTAGAAGCACTGAAATTTTTTGTTTTATTTTCTAGTAAGTAGTAGGCATTCAATTAAAACATGTCTCCTCTGCCTTTCCATAAATGTAAGAATTGAGTATATTTTCTTCTAGTATCTTTTTAGATACTTTTACAAATATTTGAATGTATTAATGAACAACATATAGATGTTTTGTGTCTAGGAGTATAATTTACATAAACATTATATTAAAAATATCATTCTGTATTTAGCCTTTTCCATTCAATGCATTGTCCACCAGCATTCCGTAACATGGAACCATGTTCATTTAACACAACAATAGGATTCCATTATTGATGTTTTCCAAATTCCTGATTAGAATATTATGATCAATTTTTACAAGACCCAAGACTATACATTTTCAGACTTCTCTATATAGTTCTGATTTTTAAAATTTTATACAAAACATGGTTCTGAAGGAAGTAAAGTAACTAACAGAATTAAGGAAATGGAAGAGGAAACAAGAAGAACTTGTGACTCTTGAAAATATAAAGTATTGTTAATGACTATTGTATATGCATTGTAGGATGAAAATGGGTAATTACTGAAGGACACCGGGAACTTGGGTTTTGGCATGGGAGGAAGGAGATATAAATAGTTAGTTAAGTAAAAACTCTCTGGTCATAAATATGAATTGGAAATATCAGTACCAACTCTGGATACATTTCTTTTCAAAATAAAATAATTTTCTATTTTTGGCCTCTAAAAGTCTTAGAAATAAGAACTAATTTAGTGCCAATAACTACCCCTAATACTCACACAGTGTTTCTAAATACTATCCAAAAGAAACTAGGGCTCCTTAGAGAAATGGCTGATTCTAATTCTGGATGAAAAATATACAATATGCTGGCCTGAAACATCTTGTCATTCCCCCCCTCACCCCCAAATCAAGCTATGAACACTACTTGGTACATGTGAAAGGATTCGGGAGTCAACTTGAAGAAATTCCCACTGGCCAAAGATGGGATAATTTAGCATCCAAAAGAATCATAGCAATGTACTAAATATACCAAAATCTAATTCACCCCCAAATCATTGACACATAAAGTATAAATATCCATGAGTTCATAATAAGACTTAAGAAGATAAGGTTATTATTTCATGCTAGGTAATTATTTTTTGAAATGGCTAAATATGGCCAAAGAATCAAGCACTTATCATGCCTTTGCTATAATAACTATATATACTTCAGGATAACTGATGAGTTGATAAAGGCAAATTTCTACTTATAGAAAGTCTTGTCAAATGTTAAACCTGAATATAATCAAACTTTTAGATCTAACTACCAACTAATAAGGCGTACAGGGGACAGAAGAATGCAATCAGCAAAATCCAGTCTGGGGAAACGGGAGTGGGAGTTGGGGAGTGGGGAAAGGAAGGTGGAAGCCTCCAAATTAAAAAAAAAAAAAATCAACCAATAGAAATGTGTGGATTTTACTTTGATCCACACTTTGATTCTTAAAAATAATTGTAAAAAAAAAAATTTATTTATGAGACAACTGGAGAAATTTGAGCACTTAAAAATTAAGAATCATCACTAATTTAGGTGAGATGATACTGTGGTCAATTTTTTAAAAATTAGTACTTAAAGAAATGGTATCATTTAATTCAGAAATATTTCAGCTTGTATTATTTCCAAATAATTTGGGGGAAAGGAGGAAGTTGGCAGGGATATAGATGAAAGAAGATTAACCAAGTGTTGATAATTATTTAAGCAGGGCTAGGGGTGAATGAGGGTTCTTGTACTTTTTTCTCCACTTACATGTGTTCAAGTTTTAGAAAAACAAAAGATAAAGGCTCAGGGGATGTTGAAAACTCAGTAAAATGTTGAAAGGCATCATTAGGATAAAGATAATTCTTTCTTCAAATATCAAAATCCTTTCAGTGAGGCATACTCTATGAACCTTAAATGTAAATAAAGATGAAAATGCTACTTTGTGTTAGAGAATCATGCCCTGACGCAGACTGAAATGGAAGAAGTCTTTAGTGATAGATCGCAGCCATGAATACTTCAAATACAGTACCTTACAAAATGCACCAAAATAGAGAATATTCTGTAGGAGCATGCAAATGAGTGTTTAGATGCCAGGAACCAACATAATGGAAATGTACAGATCATCAGAATTTGTGAAAACCCTCTTCTTGATAAATGTTATTAAGACTTAAGTGACTAATGAGCCTTTTAATGATACCATCTATTTTTGTTTAGTGGTAGAACAGTTAATATGTAATGTAAAAAAAAAAAAGAACACTCATAAATATTAAAATGAATGTTTTTTCTATTTTGTAGTATGTCTACATCTGCTTCTCCTGCCCCCCAAGCTTAGCTATAAACTTGCTGGTTTTTACAAGCAAAACACCAATAGAACGGTAAATTCTGGTACCTGTTTGGATACCAGCTGTGTACTAATTAGACTTGTGATTGCCTAGATCACCAAATATTACACAATGCTCCTTCAAGTTTCCAGGATTGAGTCTGAATGTTGGCTGGCAGATGCCCCAAGCGAGACCAGGCCTGGTCCTGACAGTCTCTATAAAGAGTTCTACCAGATACAAAGTAAGAACTGGCTGCATCAACACATCCTTGTGAGTCAGTTCAGGCATGGGGTAGATGGTGCTTTTGGGGATGCGGAACAAAAGCGTTCTCTAATAAGATTGATACAGATATGTATCCAGTATCTGGACATATGTCTGAGGGCCATTTTTTGATTAAGTATTTGTCAGTAACAGCACACCCATCACATTCAAACCCTATGCTGAATCATAGACTTCAATAGTTTACTGGTGTGGCTTTTCATTTAGCCCTTCATCTACTCGCATTTTGAGGCAACAAAAACAAGGGAACTGACGCACTGTGTCTAGTCCTAAGACATAAGTTGGATTATTACATGAGCAGTTTGGACAAGAAAGGAGGTGGCCTGAGAAACTCTCAAAATAAAAGACTGAAGATAGTATGGCAACTTTGGTTGCAAGGAAGTCTTGCTCTCTAGACATGGCTTTATTTATATTGTCAATCCATTCAATAACCAAAAATATTACATGTAAGATAAAATGCTTGATTGTTGCTTCTTTCAGCCAAGTCTGATGAAGTGCATGGATTTTATCAGGAAAGTGAAAAAAAACCTACCTGAAGACTGCGAGAGTCAGAGACCAGAGCACTAAAGGCTTCCTCAGTTCAAACTTCGCCCGTTTGTTCATTAGGTGCCGACCACCAAAGATAAAGGCAGCATACAGAGCAGAAAACAGGAAAGATTTCTTCCTATGAACAAACAGAAAATGAAAATCCTATGAAAAAGATTTAAGTAATTTATTTTCATCCATTAGGAATTTACGTTTATTTATTATTCATCAACTTTTATAACAGACCCTTCTTTGTAAGCACTGAAAATATTTTCTTGGGAATGTGCCCCCTTCACAAGGTTTAGTCCACTTGGCAACACAGCACTGTTGAATTCTTCCTTAAGGAAGAACACAGAACCATTTAAAGTACATACACTTGCCTAAAACTGTGAGCTTGAATCAAATAAAATATCTGATTACTAGCTGTTTATGGGAAACACAAGGGATAGATCCAAACTTTGGGACAGCTAAACTGTCAAATATAATATGTATACATATAAAATGACATAACAATCAAATATAATAAGTAGAGCTTTTTTGGATCCTTATTGGAAAAAGACATTTAAAATAAAACCAGAAAGGTGTTAGTCATAATTTCAAAGTAGTTAGTTAATATTTATGGGTGAAAGTATACGTCTTAGATTTGCTTTAAAATTCCCCAGGAAACAAACAGAATCAAAACAATGTTAAGTCCTGACCACCGCACTGTATTTCTGAAGCTGATGTTGAATAATATTGTATGTCAACTATAATTATATATACATATAGTCACGGGACATGGAGTAGAGAGTGGGAATGGAATCAATGGAATTGTAACAGATAAGTATGATATTGGGGGTGGGAGGGCAATACATGAGGGGAGGGGGGTTGTTACTTTGTGAGGGTGAAAAGGATAACTATTGCATTGTTCTGTACACCTGAAACTAACAATAAAAAAAAATTTTTAAAAACAACAAAAAAAAACAAACAAAAACAATGTTAATGGTGGAGACAGAAAACAAGATTAACAAAAGGGATGACAGAACACAGCAGGGCTCCTTCTCTCATTTTGGTAGTCAAGTTTAGGTGGGACTCTTAGGAAATGGCTAAAATATCAAATAGAATCTCCAGGTCCTGCTGGCTTATTACTGTGCCAAGGAGAAGTGTACAAGAGTATTGATAATGCCAAAAAGAACAAGCACAAAAAACTACTATAGACTACAATTCAATAAAAAAGTAACAGGCCTTGTAAATAATTTAAACATCTGAGTATACTTCCGAAAAAAGCAATGTTTCCCTTAAAATGGGTATTCTCCACTCAATTAGATTAAAACTGAAAGGGTTGAAAAGTAAGCTACAACACAGAGTACAAATAGCAAAGTGCATTAACTTGCACAGCATTATTTGTAAAATGCTTCATATGTTCCCCCAACCACTGACACGTATTGCTGACTCATGAGGGATCTTATTTACACAATCAACACTCCTACTTCAATGAATGCAAGTGACCTACTTAGTGAACACCACCAAATAAAGCAAGTGATTCCAGAAATCAACCCATAAATAAGGATGGAATAAATCATTTCCACTGAGGTTTGCAAACTCTTCCCTTGAAAACACAAGACCTGGTACACAGTAGTGCTTATTAAATATTTGTTGAATGATGACAGTCTTGTCATATGGAATATTTTGACAGGGGAAAATAATTATGCACCTGTGAACATGGGTGCTCAGCAAACACTGAGTGAGTGAACAGTTGTACATTCCCAGTAATACATTAATAACTAAGGAATAAAATAGTCTCAAAAAACATGATCCATTTTCTTCCTCCAGAAAGAGACTATTTCTATACTTCAAAGAGAAGAGAAAAAGTGGAACAATTATGTGGTAACTTAACTATTGAACATTTCAAGAAAAAAGTACTTTTGGTTATAAACATATTTATTGCTTTACTTTTTTGAATTTTGCAAGTGTACGATATTAAATTAGTTTTAGAGTCAGAATTACTATCAGCATTTAAACTCATGTAAGCAAAGACTCACTAAAGAAAACCAAAATTCTATCAATTTAATGCAGGGAATAGTAATGTTAAATAGTATATATTCCTTTCTAAATGATAAAGGTAATGATAAGTGACAATATTCATAGTATTATCACTTAGGGAGTGATTCCTATGGGTAGAAATAGTGTTTAAAAGCTTCATCATTTAATTCTCCAATCATCCCTAATGCAGATAAAGCACATCTTCATTTTATGGCTAAGGAGCCAGGTTTAGAGGTTAAGTAGCTTCAGATCTCTCCGCTGTCTTGTGGTAAGCATTTGGGGATGGGGGAGAAAGGGTGTACCCGATGTGTTATCTTCTAAAAATCCCTTAAGCCCTCCCACTGAAGTCCATGGTCATTGTGTAACTGTGTAGTACACATTGTTTAACTGTGAGAAGAGCAAGAGGAAATCTCCACACCTTCATGCTTCAAAGATCACATTTTCTGGGCGTAGAATACTTTGATCCAAACCCCCTTCATCTCCTGGAGAACAAATTACCTATATCTACCACTGAAAATTTTTCCTTATAGTTAGTTGTCATTCTTTCTCTTGCTTGTTCAATCCACTTCAGGTTTTGGTTATGGTTAGATTGAGTGTTACTTGCAATTATGAACCAAGTTAAATGGATGTCATTATATGATCCTATCACTGTAGCCATTAAGGGGGAAATAATGTGTCTCAAAGTACCAAGAAAATAATAAAAACCTTCCCTCGGTATTGTTTTGTCTAACTTCTTCAGTTCTAGAATGAGATTTCAAGTCAATCAACCAAGTCAATCAACAGAGAAATGAGAATATGAGAATTGCAAGGGACCCTAGAGATGGAGCCCAATTTTCTTGTTCTACAGAAGAGAGAATTGGGGGCAGGAGGTGCTGATGACACTGGTTGCTCACGGTCACATAGCTACATACTGCATACTGGTCAAAACTACCAAAAATTGTCATGGCTGTGAACAAGGAGGTAGGTAAGCATAAATTAATTGTCTAGGCTATATCTGGGTCACAGGCAGTCAAAATCGTGAATTTGTTTAAGTATAAATGCTGTAACAAAAATGTTGCTCATTGTATACTATATAAATCTATGGTGGTAAAATTCAAATAATGCTTTGGGTTAATTTAGAATTAAACTTCTATGAGAGAATCATTTTAAGGAAGTATTATATTAACTCTTACATCCTCAATTGAGTAATCAAAATGTCTTATTTATAGTTGTATGTATTATGATTTTCCCATTGTGCTTAGAAGATAAGATTTTCTTTAGCAAACTGGGTGGTTAAATGAATTAAAACTGCCTTCCTGTCCTGGCATCTGTTTGGTAAAGGTTCAATTATAGTCAAGATGAATAATGACATGCTGCTAGCCCACTTACTATTTAATGTAGATAAATGACTTCCCTAATGTCTCAATGGTGATCCAGCAATCCTTCCTATTCTGGCAGGCCTCCATAGCTGGGTATAATGCAACACTACATTTTTTCATAACTAGCAGTTTCTAGATGGTATGGACTCTTCTTGTTTAATAAGTCTTAAATGTATATCATAGAGCACAACCCTTAACTGTAGGTGCTTTATAAATGCTTCTCAGGATGGTCATTCTATAGCTATAATTACAAGGTAACCAACCAAATAAAGACCGTCCAAATGAAATACTGATGTGCTTTGTTCGAGCTTGTTGTGCTTGTATTTACCCTTTCTCCCCTTCCATGTCTGTCATCAACATGAATAATAGAAATTAGTCCATAATTAATAAAAACAAATAATGGTTTTATCCTTTATCCTTTGAGATTTGGCGTTCTTTATCATGATACCTTGTTCCAAAACATGCCTAAGAGTTGTTTTTTTCTATTCTTACCAGCAGAGTAGCTGGTCAATATTTGCATTTATTGTCCAATCAAATAACACTCTCAAAGAGTTTGCATACATTCAAATGCTGTGTTGTTGTTGTTTTTTTCAACTCCTGGGGTTCCACTGAAACCAGCACTTAGCTTCAGTTTCTTTAGTAGTCACATCAAGATCTCTGCCAACAGACCTGTACGCCTTTAAGAATCAAACAAGCTTTATTTGAGAATGGTGAAACTTTCATGTGGGTAGCATTTCAACAGGATAATCGCTAACGAACACCTTGAGGAGATGGCATGGGCGGCTTTATCTTGAAGTGACCTTGTTTCGCAGCTACCGTACATGTGTAAGGTACAACGAGTTGTGAAAGTGAAAATTCAGCTGCCAGGGAGAAAAGAAAAAGAGACTTAAAAGCATCTCCTGCTTTGACTGATATCTACTCAGTGTATTGAAAGTTTTCATGTTCCAAGCTGAAAAGTCTGAAGCTGAGAAAACGGCTAATTGGTGAGGCCACATCTCTTTTAAGATTTCTCCTTTCGTTTAGTTGCTGATTCCAGGCAGGAAAAAAATTCAAGGTTCTGAAAGTAATGTGAAGGCCACAGATAAATTGGAGACTCAGAAACTGAAGGAAATAACACATTGCTTTTTGTCAACAATACATTCAGTGGATGTCTATGGTGGTTACAATCTGATAAGAATAAAAAGGAAGGTTTTCTTGAAAGGGATCTTGGAGTTGTGCTGTTGGAGCTCTAGCCAGGGCTGGGTTCTGTCATTCTTGAGACTTCAAGACCCCTAAGACTTCACAAAGGCATTTTTCTTTTTCAAAAACAATGGGTATTTTCTACCAGTTTTTATTCACAAGTAAATTATAACTGAAAACTAACTCTGTGCCCAGAAATTCTGACAAAGACTAATTTCATGAATAATAATGGCATATATCCATAATTAATACAAATGAATGACCACTTTATAACTGCAAGACAAAGCCATGACTACAGTAAATGGTATTATTCTAATCTGTTATGTTTGACCCAGAAAACCAAATAATGTGTGATTTATGAGGTTCTTTGAGTTGCAAATAGCTCTCATTCTGCTTTCCCCTCAGATGCTAATTTAAAGATCACAGGTTCTCCTTATTTATCTTTTTAAAAAGGTGTGAAAACCATTATTTTGCAATTCAGTTTTCCTATTGAAGTAGGCCATGATCAAAGTAGGGTTACATTTAGTATGTTCAGTAAATTGGCTACATATCTATCCATTTCTAGGAGAGTATACTCCTC